CAGCAACTAGAAGGATGTGCAACTATGACATACAACTATCTACTGGGGCTTTGGGGGAAAAAATAAATAAATAAAAATTATAAAAAAAAAAAAAAAGTAAACTTAATAGTTTAATTGAAAATGCATATGCATGGATATGTATATATAGAGAGAGTATTTGTATGTGTGTGTTTTGAAAGAGAGAGAGAGCATATACATACACAGAGAGATTATATGTGCATATGTACAGATGGATGGAGAAAGAGAATGTGAGAACCAGACAGGCAGGCAGACAGAGATAAAACAAATATTATTTCCCAGGGCACTTAACATCGGATAAATAGAGGGACAGTTAGTTTGAGTAACTCTCAAATGGTTTCCCTTTCAAACTGTTCCTTCTACTACTAGTCTTGAGAGAGCTGAAATTTGTTTTTTTTATCAGTGACATCTAAATACTATACATTTTGGCACTTGCTTTGAAGATAACAACAGAACAGTCCCTAAGAGTACCTGGTTTGAGTTTGCAGCCATCTTTCATCTTAAAATATTTCTCGCAGTAATCGCTCTCTTTTTTCTTCCTCTGTTTCCCCTTCCTCGTTATCAGGGCTGAGAAAGGGCAACGAAATCATGACCTTAAATGGGGAAGCCGTGTCTGATCTCGACCTTCAACAGATGGAGGCCCTGTTTTCTGAGAAGAGTGTTGGGCTCACTCTGATTGCCCGGCCGCCGGACACAAAAGCACCTCTGTGTTCTTCCTGGTCAGACAGTGACCTGTTCTCAAGGGACCAGAAGAGTCTGCTGCCCCCTCCTAACCAGTCCCAGCTCCTGGAGGAATTCCTGGATAACTTTAAAAAGAACACAACAAATGGTAGAGCTTTGTTCTTTCTTTCTTCCTAACTGCTGCTATCAACAGCTAATATTTTTAGGCTGTAATTTTGCTTGCAAACTTAGATTAAGCTGTTCAAAGAATGTTTTCTCATTTATTAGGAGAAAAACACAAACGCTAGCCAAGTCGATTTGGTAGAAATTCTGTGCATTTCAGTAATTACGACGCTTGCATGAAAATAGAAAGTAGAAAAAAAAATTTTGTTTTTGCCCAAAGTAACATTCTTTAAAGTTGCAAAATCTAAACATCGCCCAGATATTCAGCATTGTAATTGCTTTGTGATTGAAGGTAGGTGAAAGCCAACATAAATGGCAAAGTTAATTTTCTATTCTGTTGAATCTAAGGCCGAAACATTTTGCAGTAGTCTAATGGGTTCTTAGAATTGACGCAATTCACTCCTTCACCTCTGTCGTGAAGTACTACTTTCTCCATAAACCGCAAACTTTTAATGTAGGTCATGAATTCTAAAATTTTGTAGAGGCCTAAAAATGAAAAATCATATGCCAGTTTATTCTTCTAAAGGTAAAATTTCCATATGAGGAAACCATTTGATGGTTTGAATTTCTGAGCTTCTCTTTCATGTGTATTTTATCTATGGCCGTCAAGTAAATGAGAGGCTCCAGCTAATACTGGAAACCTGTAGTTTTCCTCTGTACTCCTGGAGGAACCTGGTCAAGCCCCGGGAGGGTCTTTATTTTACAAGCATACAAAGTAATTTTTGTACTTAATTACAATGATAACGGATTTCCAATCAAAATCTCTGCACGATTACCAAAAATGAGTGAAAAACACAAAAGAGAAGTTGTGAGTCTAGATTTAATTAGAAAGCAAGTTTATTAGGTCATTTTTGGAATTAAAATATCAGATTGTAAGATTTGTGATTCAATAAGGTGCGTAGTGCTTTCTCCTTTTCTCTGGGGGCTTCGCTCCAATTTAAAATACCATTAAATTGACTATTGGCATATAAAAGTGAGCGTCATAAAACAAAAATTATGATGGGACTAATTAATCACTTGGTTATATTAGGGCCATCATTCAGCCACCCCTGGCTGCTGTTGTAACCCTATTCCATATAATATTCCATATAATACGTGCGTGCATCTGTTCATTGGTTTATTATTCTTGAGGGATGCATTCACTGCCTGTTACATCTCTATGTGTTTTATCATAATAAGAAATCACTGCAGACTCATAACACTTTTGGTACTTGCGGGAATGAATTTCTATAGCAAGCAGCAAAAGTGGCAAATTTACCTTTTTTTTAATAATAAGAATCAAGCAGATCAGTTAAGCTTGTTTACCACTTTTTTTTTTTTTTGCAAGGAAACAGAATAAGAAGAGGTCCTGGATATGTTAGATAACTGTTATATTACTCACCTAGGGAGCCACTGATGGTCTAGGTACTTATAACTTACCTAAGGCGTACTGATGTCTGTGTATACCAAAGGCTTAGCTAGTCTGACTGTGGACAGGCTTTTCCACAACTGGTGTTCCTCCAGGTACCTACACATCTGCTCATCCTTCCCCGGATGACACTTTAGCCCCAGCCGGGAGAGAGCCACTGACCTCTCCCGGGTTTCCTGGCGAGACTGTGAGCTCCGTGGGGCTGAATCATTCTCCCCAGCGAGCACACCGCCGCCCTTCTGCCCGGGGTTGTGCTGTCTGTCTCATTTACTGTTCCACAGTAATGTGCTTGTCTTGGAAACAAAACAGCCCCGATGCACTCCTTCCCCAAACACTTTGCAAATATGGAATTCATTTTTTTTCTCTTTGAAGTCGTTGTGTGGCTTGCGAAGGAAGTTAAATGTCTATGAGTGAACATCTCAGAAGGAGGTCTGTCCGTTTTTAAGGTTGGGGGAAAAGAAAATACAGGGTGAGTAGGTGAGATATTGAAAGATGAAAGAGAGAAAAGAGCGAGTCTGTCATTTGTGCATCACATCTCGATGACACGAGAAGTCTGCATTTGTGGAGACCGAGAGGTGGGGTGGTGTGGCGACAAGCACGGAAGCCTTGAGTCAGTCCTGGGTTTGAGTCCTGGTTGTGCCACCTTGGGGACAGCCCCCAACCAGGGAGGTGTGGGCCCCATAGATGACAGCCCAGCTTCCTTATCCCCTGCTGAGACAGTTTTGCGGTGCCTTCCACAGTTCTTCAGATGGCCCTGTGGAACTGAGCCCCCGTTGTGCATAGCAGCCTCGTTTTCACACCTTTCTGGGCTTTCTCGTCTCACCTTCCCTACTCCCTCACTTGACTTGCTTGGGATCACTTTCCAAATAAACTTCTGTCCCCATGTTCTTGGCTCAGACTCTGCTTCTGGGGAGCCCAGATGAAGACACTGAGCCTCGGTCCCTCATCCGGAAGATGAGGCTTCCACCCTGCCTTGCTGGGTCGCTGTGGGGTTGAGGGAGTGTGTGTCCAGCCCAGCTCAGCTCCTTACGTGGTGGGAATTTTGAAAATGTGCTTCTCCTCTTCCCTCTCTCGTGCGGCTTAAGGTTTTGTTAAAAATTATCTTGATTTGCTTTCATGATGAATTAGAAAACAGTAATCCCATTTTCTTGCTAAAAAAATGGAAAATTACACAAATGAAAGAATTTAAATGACTTTGAAAAACAATATTTCCTACAAGTTTCAATTATACTTAGCAGTGGTCCTTTCAGAGTCTCCTTTCCCTAAATTTCACGTTCTCTTGGCTTTACCAGAAGGCAGCCTGGTACTTGCAAAGAAGGAAGATTTTCCTGCTTTGTTTTCCAGAGAAATCTGTCTGTTAATAAAAACCGAACAGCTGGCTCTCTGGAAGGAGGACCTGTTTTTTATAGAGGATCTTTAAGAATATCAGAAAGTGGAGGAAGAAGCAGCCCTAAGCAGTTGTGCTGGGTGTATCTTGACTATCCAAGTTGAATATTTACTGCCCCCTGTTGGGTGCTTAGAATGTGCAAGGCCCTGGGAATAAGCTACATCAAGTTCAGGGCTTGGGGTCTGCTTTTGGTTTGGGGCAGTTATCCAGAAGTCTGTATTTGTTAGCTTGAGACTCTTGATCAGGTTTGAGCAAAAAAAAAAACCCTTTTATTATTTATCTATCTGACCGAAAGAAGTGTTGGTCACAGTGGCAGGTCCCAAGGAGCCCAGGCCATGATTGTGGGTCGCTGCTCAAGTTCTGGGCTTTTCTAAAAAAGAAGCATCCTACTGGCATTTGAGACTCAGTGTGATGTATAGTGTTTAGGGAAATGGTGCTCACACTTCATGGTGATTACGACTTGTCTGATGAGCTTGTGAAAATGCAAATTCCTGGCTTCTGCTGTCAGAGAGCGCCTCCTTCAGGAGGTCTGGGGTACTGCAAGCTCCATGGTTAATCACTGCTCACTTACATGGCCATGATGGTGGCCATTAGTCTAAGGGAGGTGGGTCTGAACCTGACTGTAGGACCTGCCCTTTCCTGAACCCTCGTGTGCCAAGGTTTTGAGGATTAAATGAGATAATATGTGTAAAGTTCTAGCAAATGATAGCTATTGTGCTCACGTGTTGTTAGTCTCTCAGTTAGGGATTATATGCCCCAAACTTCCGCCATTGTCCTCCTCGGGCTCAGAATGCAGCGAGTTGACTTGATGTCTCACCTCATTTGTTCCTCAGCCCACCCTCAGGGGACCCTGTCCCATTCAGCAAATTGTACTACTCTGAGAAGCAAAGAACTTCCAACAGCTCGGCTATGATATTCCTCTGATACTCTGTGAGGAGCGGAGCAGACTGGAATGCGTCCAGAATCGATGAGTGTTCAATATTAAGTTCCTTTGTTTCCTTAGAGATGAATGACTGTTTGATTCTTGCCTCTAAGGGTTTGAATTTCTGTTCTAGTTATCCACAGTGGAAAGAGAGGAAATGCCTATAGGCTGTATTTGACTTGAGCGGAAATATCATTTGTGAAGACTTTTTATAGAGAGAATTAATTTTACCACTGGAATTCCCCAAAGAGGCTGGTGTTATTTTTGAGCCAACAAGGCCACCATTGAAGGGATTGGACACGCCAGCCCTGTTTATACTGGGTCCCTGTTAATGCTGTTTTTGTGATTTCTATGGAAAATCCCTTTTCTAGTGTATGCCATCTTTTGAAAAATCCCAGCGGCTTTTAAGAGAGTCTCATTGGGCACAGAGTTCCTGAACAAAGTCTTTGTGTAAACATTGAACTTGTGGTGGCATTAATGCATTCTCCATCTATAAACAGCTATTAATACTGCATTGGTAGGATTAGGGGTATTAAATGACAGGAGACAAAATAGAAAAGACCTATGTTCCTGCGCCCATTTAGACAATATCAGCCCAGCAAATGCTTACCAGATAATGAAGGTAATTGCAGCCTCAGGATCTTTTTTTAATCCCCACCCTACTTTGAATCACTCTCTTTTTAAATTGATGTATGAGTAGTACAGAGTCTCAAGCTACCAGAAGCCACTTAGATGCAAATTTGCTCTTTGGAATGAATTGCTTCTGGGAATGTATGTGTCCATTATACAGCTTTTCACCAGGGGAGGAATTATCGAGCCAGCTCTGATGTGGCAAACCCACTTATTTCCTGTTTATGAGAGTGAGGGCATTTTGGCTTCCAGAGCCTGGTGTAGGATGACTAACAACATTTAGCTCAGAGAATGCTCTGTTTGTGTGTGGAACTGCTATGACTGAGTCTGTCTGGCTGACACCCCAGATCCCCAGATGTAAAAACATATTCGACTTCCTAAAGATGGTTAGTGCATTTAAAAAAATTTTTTTAAATCTGAGTGGGAAATATCGGTTTTACCAGGACACAGAGAACTTTGGTCTCAGAATTCTTAGTTTCTTATAAGTGCTGAAGGTAGCTTTCAATTTCATCAGTGGAGGTGAGCATGTGGCTTTCTCTGGGCGGTGGAAGGAATTAAGGTCCTTGGATACTAGTTCCCCTACATACTTAGTGTTATTGGGGAATTTGTTTCCCTTTTTCTCATCCTCAGTTGTTCATT